GAGTCGCTGGTGTGCTATCAGGAGGGTATCGACCTCCTGCTGCAGGTGGTGAAAGGTACCGGGCAAGGGGCGGTTTGACAGACGTTTTACCGCAACCGCCGGGGCGGTTAGTTGTTAAATACAGCCCGGTTCTGTCGGAGGCCGCCAGCCGGGGGTGGTTTTGAGGAGACATGAGCCGCGTTTGGCGCCGAGGGCCGGTCCCGGTGTGCCGTCGCCTCACGGGGAGGGAGAGGAAAGGTGGAAAGGTGGCGGCGTCTCCCTGGGAGACCGGGGCCCGGGCAGGGCTCGGCTCCCCGCGGTTCCCCCGCCCCGAGGAGAACTGGCCTGTGTGCTTTTGATTCACAGCCACGAAAGATGAGGCAAAAAAGCACCGTTACCGGCAGAAAATATCAGAGTACATGACCAGAGCTGAAGACATTAAAAAACACATTGAGAAAGAGAAACAAGGTATGGAGCTGCGATGTACCTCTTTGCATTTAAATACCTGTTGTTACGTGACCATTTTATGGGTGAGGTGGTTTAACACCAGAATTGTGTCATGATCTTTACTGAAAATGAGGCTTATTTTCTTTTCAGATGGCAAATACCATAAGCAAATCAGGATAGAGGAAAATGCAACAGGTTTCAGCTATGAAAAGCTTTTCCAAGAGTACCTTACAGAGATTGTTTCTGAAGTTTGGGTGGAGGACCCGTACATCAGGCATGTTCATCAGGCAAGTAGATATTCGGTGTAACTGATACAGATGTAACTACTAAAAAAATCCAAGTTACTAAATGAAATAAAACTTTTACAGTTGTATAACTTCCTACGATTCTGCGAGATGCTAGTTAAGGGGCCGTGTAAAGTGAAAACTATTCATCTCCTCACTTCCTATGATGAAGTAAGTGTCTAGATTTTGGTTTCTATTTCCCCGTACTCAGGTGATACCACATGCAAATATATATATATTTATTTTTAAATATAGATTTCTTCTTACCACTACAGACTGAGGCTTTGATGCCTTCAGCAGAAAACACAGATTAAGAGGGAAAAAAAAATGTGATAGTTGAACATAAGCAATTTTATAAGTTCAGAGTTTTCTGATAACTCTAACAAATTCTTGGTAAGCAGAATCTTAAATGGAAAAGATATTTTTGTGAAAGTTTTGTTGTGGAAAATGTCATCAAAACCAAAGCATCTATTGAGATATGTTTTTTTTATCTTCCAACAGTTGTATATAGTTGTCATTTTAGAGGCTTTGATGAGCTAAAACCTCTCAAGCTATCATTGCATTTATTTTGGCTCAAACAGTAATTCCTGTCTAGTTTCAAAGGGCTGAGAGTGAGCTCCTCCTCCACATCCCTTAGCAAGCGTACCTGTAATCTGTCTGCTTTTTATCCTGTCTTTGAAACTGCAAATCTGCCTTCATCCAAGTTACTTTCTTTCAGTTTAAGTTATTACTAAAAAGGTTTTGTTGGTGAGTTTTGAAAGAGGTGACCAGAAGTAGAATATATCATTAAAAACCCAAACCTACCACGTTATTTTTACTTTTAACAGGGTAGTGGGAAGAGTCAGCAGATAAGTGGCTTGGAAGAAATACAACAATCATTGAGGAATTATGGAGTAACACTGAATGTTGCATTTTCATCTTCAATACATGATCGAGAAATTAGGTGGGTGATATAAAAAATTAGTGAATGCCAGTTATTTGAAGTCAAACTACTTAACCATAACTTTTGAGACTATTTCTAATTACAGCTGTGGTTAACAAAGTGGAAGGCAGTGGCCCCCACTGGATGAAATCAGCCCTCCACAGTTTCACGTGTTCTAACTGTGAACATAATAGTAGGTGTCTTTCTACAGAATAGTGTCTTCCATGGTTCATACAGGTATCGGCTACACTAGGAAATAATTGTGATTGAAACAAGGAGCTTGTGTGTCGTGTGGATATAACTTTTTTTTAGTCAACATACTCATAGTATTCAAATTTATTAATTTTTAAAACAGATTCAACAATGGATGGATGATTAAGATTGGAAGGGGTCTTGATTATTTTAAGAAACCACAGGTAAGAACGTTTTGACCTCTTTAATTAACTTACACTGTAGAAGAGCTCATTCTATGTTCACCATGTCAATTCTGTTAATTTCTGCAGGGTCGTTTCAGCATTGGATACTGTGACTTTGACTTGCGACCTTGTCATGAAACAACAGTGGATGTCTTTCATACTAAACATACAAAGAAAATGTGATCAGATACGACTGCTTTTAATGAGTGATTTTATAAGCATAAAAATATAAGACTGGAAGATGCCACTTGAGTCCTGCTGTCCACCCTCAGAAGCAGTTCTTCTAAGTACTTAGTCCAGCACAGCTTTTATAATCTATAGGTTTAAGGATATCTGAGACTTTTCAGTCTGAGAAAACACAACTGTACAATTCCTTCACTGGACTTCTCCCATAATCTTAATTAATAATCTTAATAATCTTAATTAATAATCCATGTCTGAATTTGATCTTGATTTCATAACAGACCCTCAGTACTGCTTCTCAAAGGCCTCTTTACTGTCAATTCTTATTTTCACTGTTAATTTTGTCTTGAGCAAATTTTGGGTTTTACATCTTTAATTGACCGCCTCACAAACATTTGAAGCTGGGCTGCCACATGTCCTCTTTTATAAGCAGCCTTATTTATTTCCTTTAATTCCTGTATTCTAGTCATGATTACTGTTCTGCTGTATTTTGGTCAATCCCATAATACCTGACTTCACAGACTTTACCAGTAACCCCAAATCTAACATTCCATTTTCCAAGCTCCTTGCATGCAAATACTGTAGTGTTCAATATACAGACATTTTAGGGTTGTCTTACGGGTCTCTGCATGATGGATATGGGGCTTGAAGGGATACAAACAGCTGTATTCTTTTCCCCATCACTCCTATACGTTCTTTTATTCCGTGATGTATGTTCTTATACCAGATTTTCACCCTTTGCGTTAGGTGTGAAAAGGTTGTATGATCTTCTAGTCTTTTCCCTGACTTCCAACTTTAATGTCCTTCCAGCTAGTGGTGCCAGTCTGAAGTGCAGTAATCTATTTCTCTGCTACTAAAAAAATAATAATTGATTTTTAAATTCTTCCAGCAGTTGGATACCCTGAAACTTTCTTGTTAATAACGATTCTAAGAAATATGCTAATTGGAAAAAAGACAAAATCTTTCCTCGTCGTCCCTTCATCCTCTGAAAAGCAGAAGGTATCACGTGAGCTGCTGCTGCTTTTTCTCCTAAGAGTTTTTGATCATTGTCAGCATGAATCTGGCAAAATTGTATATTCTGACATGAAGAACAGGCGGTGGCCTCTTTTGCAGGTCCCATCAAAATCTTTTCAGCCTCAGGATTGATAGGTGCCTTATGTTTTCTGCTCTTGTAATACAAAATGCCTCCATATTCTAGTAGCATGTTTATTGCTAGAACTTTCTCTCTCTCCTATGTTTCTTTTTCCTGATGGCTGGTGTATTCCATTATCCTTTTTTTATTATTTGCTTTACAATTCTTCCACCTTCTGTCATCTAATGCTGCTATTCTTTTAGCCTTGCCTCTAACACTACAAATCTATTCCACAGCTATCAAGAAAAAAACAGAGCTGGTCTTTGCTTGGTTCTCTGAGTCACAGTTTGCCAGTAGTCTGCTGCCTTTATCCTTTTGCATAATAATGTCTCAGCTTTTCAGTGTTACATCACCAAAAAGAATAACATACTTGCCACAGCAGCTGTATGCTACCAGTCAGTCCCCCCAAACATTCCGTAGAGGCTCTCTGGCCTCTGTGATACTAGATTTCTGGTCAGTCATCAGTTTTATTCAGTTGTGTATAAAATATGCCTATTTTTAATGGGAATAAAGGTTATTTTTTATTATTTGTAGTTTTAGTCATCTGTTTTTATTCTTCTCTGCACTACATACAGTAATTCAAGGAAGCTGGGTAATGCCTTCTAGATAAGCCATGATTGGGAGAATGTGAAGCTTTGTATCTTTTAACCTACTCCAGCAATTTCAAACATACGGGGCAAAATAAAAAGCCACCTTAAATATTTTAGATCAACTTTAAATCTTAATACTTAATTGGAAATCAAAATAAAAATCTTTATGCTTTCTGCATCTTGTAATACAATAAGCCTCTCTGTTCTAGTAGTAGCTCCTTAAGATGTGGTCCAAATACAAGAGGCAAGCATGGTCTTCCCTCTCTTGCCTGTTCATTGCTAGAACTTTTTCTGTTTTCTAATTAGACTATAATTCAGTAGTTAAGACTATGGCTTTCGTTGCAGATGTCATAGATAATGCAGTATCTGTACATATGCACAACTAACCCTTCAGTGACATACCAGTTGGCACTGACTGCACTGCAATTTTTACCTCTAAGCCCTTTACCTCTGAATAGTTCCTTTCATGGTCATCAGGAACACAGCGTACGAAGAGGAATGTATATCAACGAATAGAAAAAAAAAAAAAATTATCAGAGCAAGCTAAGAATACCATTCTACAATCATTTTACTTACTCCAGGCCACATTCTTCTCTGGTACCACTTGCACTTATGTAGTCAGGTCATCACCTGGACTGTGCAGCCAGGACTGTCCCTCCTGGCACCAACTGTGGCGATGAGCTTAAGCCACCTTCCCCGCTGGAGTCAGCCAAGTGTCATTCAGCTCTGCAGTCCTGTCAGTCCCCCTAGCCGAGGGCTGGATTCACCCCCATCAGCTGCTCTCCTTAGCTAAAGCTAGGTCACTCCTGCCACGTCATTTACTACTGAGTGCTGGTCAACTAATGTGCAAGTAACATAGTAACACCTCACGGGCCTTTGCAGGCCTTGCTTGTTAACAAATATTTGCAGCTAGAATCTCCTCAGCACAATTTAATTATCAAAGGAGTGAAGTATTCATAAAAGGATATGCTGCCTAGGGCTCCCTAATCTATCTGTCTAGATCTTCCTTATCTGAAGAATTTCAATTGCTGCTGTTACTTACCACGTTACGCTTATTTCACAGTTTGGTGAGGAACAAATTGTATAACATAGAAGTACATAAACTCTGTAACTGCCTCACTTCAGCGGAGATCCTATCGGCAGAGGCTCTCTCTGCTGCTCTGTGGTCTCTCCTATAGCAATGAACTGCTGCTGTTTTCACCTGATCAAAATTGCTTTCCAGTTATTCCGTGACAGGATTTGGTGCTGTGACTTGGATTCACGCGTCCTGCTTCACCTGGGAGGACCGCAGACTGATCCCTGCTGAAACCCCGTTGGTGCCACTCAGAAAGGTAAGGGACCTTTTGACATCCCTACTGGAGCTTCAGCCAAGAGTTGTCTGTATGGACAAGGATGCTGGAAGTCAATGTCCTTACAGACCTAATCATAAGTCTTTAAAGTCCAGTAGAATTCAGTCACCCTGACTTTCCAGTTAACTTTTCCTTCATGCCACAGCCTCAGAAATGTGATTAGGACACCCCCAAAGACATAAACATCATTGCTCCTTTACTTTCTTTAGGCCAGACTGGTCCTTATTTATCTTGCCCCATTAACAGCAACATTGTTTCTTGCCTAATTGATCTGGTGTTTCTCATTCCACTTTACATGCCTCTGATTTTCCTGCAGTTCCCTTATCTTCAGAAGTAGTAAACACTGTTGGTATTTCAGGACAACCCTAGAATGTCATCTGGTAACAAGACCTTTGTGTAACTATCCACCTCATTTCTGGATACCATGCTTTCCTTTAAAGTCCTACCACCCCAGTTAACCCTCCAGGAAAAGACTCTTAAGTAAATTGGGCTGTGCCATAGCACCCTGAATGGAATTTACCTTGATGTGCTCACACTCAACAGGGTGAATTTATGGCTTTTTTGCTTGATGACCCTCTCATTTCAGATTTAACTAGCTCTACTATTCAAGGGCAGTTTGGTGAAGAAAGAGTTATATACCATAAAGGTGTGTAAACTCTCTGACTGCCTTATTTGGGCAGAGTTCACATCAGCAGAGTGTGTCACTGCCGCACTGGGTTCTCTCCTACAGCTAGCGCAATAAACTGCTTCTGTTCTGACCCGATCAAAATTGCGTTCTGCTTATTCAGCAACATCTTGAGTCTTCCTTTCATAATGTTACTTTATACTGCTATTATTTTTATTTAACAGGAAAACTGTCATTTTCGGTTTACTATTGCCTTTCATTAGCAAATTTTCTCTTAGGTGGTAACATAAGTAACTCTTTTCTCCTAGATCTGTATTTGCAAGTGTATTCCCTAATGCAGAAGAAGTGTTCCCACTTTTAGCTTAGATACCAGTACCTATGGCCGCAGCGGCTCTCAGCTTTGTGCCTGGCAGTGCAGGTGCAAAGGAGGCACATATGGCCTCCCTCCCAGTTAGCCTCTCCTGCCCTCATCACATAAAGCCCCGCACTGAACTTCCTAATCCTTCCCCATCCTTTTGTACGCGCACAGACAAAATGTGCCCTAATCCAGGGTAGAACTGCTAGACTGATTCAGTACACAGCGGCGAGCTTAGCTTACTACAGCGGAGAGGGTCACCAGCACCCTTCAAAAGGACTTTCAGCCAGAAAACAGGGGGACATCCCTTTTCACACAGCTCAGGGGCTGAGACACAACCTTTGAGCACGATCTGCAAGGAGGGGGATGCAGCCTCGGGGATCCAGCACAGAGGCACAGCAGTTTTTCATCTGTCAGCCACCCGTACCTTGTCTGCTACAGAGCCAGTGTGCGATGCCTCCACCGTTTTCCCTGGTTTATGCAGCGATGATGTCTATTAGCACAGAGCAATACAGAGCTGCAGCTTATTGCAGTGGCTTACATCCAGTTTGGGAACCTCAGGTGCAGGCAGTGTGAAATCTAATTGCTGGTAGGTAATATTATGCAAAAGCACAAGATTAAACAGTTTTAATGACAAATAAAAGAAAAATTCAGCTTGTAGAAATTAATGTTTTAATTTTGTTTTCAATAAATTAACTTAAAAAGCAGCAGTTTAGCTTGCATTTTCAAAATGCAAGTCACATTAACATTTTCATACTCTCGCATAGCAGATTCCACCTGCTGTGCAAGTCATCATCTTGTGGACACAGTCTTAGCAATGTTGTCGCTAGTGTAGTGGTTTCGTTTGGGCAAAACTTACTGCCAATAAGGCCCTTCATCAGTTCACTGCACAGTGCTGGTGGCAGCCACTGCTCCGGCAAATCAATGTTACAGGCTTCAATCTTTCCATGCTTTACATCCATATCTACTTTAACATCAAGAACACAACCTTTATAGACCACGTTAAAAGAAGTGCTTACACTGAACTTTGGTGTCTTTCCATACACCCATTCCCAGGTTTGTAGTTCTTTAGTTTTATTATTAATTCCAGGAAGCACAGTCTCATCAGATGGGTTTATTAAGGTGACATGATGATCTATTCGGTGTTGCATAGCATATTCTTCAGCAATGGCATCCAGGAGCATCTCACAAGTTAAACCAGGATCATCTTCAAAGAGGTTTTTCACTGAGGCAGGCACGCTCGGAGTGGCATTGCTTTTTAGCCCTTTATAAGGACTCTTTAGCACAGAAGATAAAACAAACTTATCTGCACTACAGAGTAAGGTGCAATGGTGATAAGCAGTTGCCCTTCCCAGCTTTGCAGCTGTACCTGAGATTTTGTATTGCCTGTCTAGCAAGATGTCATATCTGTCAGTGACATGTACATCTAACTGGGGGCGCAAGGCTTTCAGTGCCTTCACAATTAGTTTCAGGTTTTCCATTCGTTCATATTTTTTTCTAGTTGTAAAGAAAGTCAAATTGATATTGCCTAAGTCATGGTAAACTGTCCCTCCTCCACTTCTCCTCCTGGCTAGTTTTATATTTTTTTGCCTCAATAGCCTGAGGTTGCCTTCCTGCCAGGGATTCTGATGTCTCCCTATTACCACAGCAGGGGAATTTCTCCAAAGGAAAAGGACCTGTCGGTTCTCTAAATTCATGTGGTCATGGATCCAGTCTTCCACAGCCAGATTTTGGTAAACATCATTAGAAACAGACTGGATAATGAGGCCTCCGCTAGTTGTGCTTCTGAAGCCAGCTTTTGGAGTTCTGAGGATACAGGATAGCTGAAGGCAGTTCTTTAATGATGACTGGAGTACCATGGTTTTCATAACTGGGCAGCAGATGGAAGGAATGCTTGGTCTGGTAAAGCTGAACGTGGCAAGTGCTGTGTCACAACCTGCTGTTGTGACAGAAATGAAATGCTAGTGGCAGCCATGATGCAGTCATGCTCTTCCCAAAGTAGCAACGCTCCTGAACTGATGTGATTTGCAAGGCATGTTTCTCCTCTTGAAGCTCGTGATGCCGTTCCAATCCTGGCGTGTGCTTAACGTAAAAGCTAGGGTTGTTGGAGTAGCTTCTACTCACAGTACTTGGTGCCTAAAAACTAAAGGAAGAAGTGGAATTAAACTGTGGATTTCCCCCTCCCTCAGTAGTCTTGCTAGTACAATTTGTGTATTTTGCTAAACTTACTTTTAGTCGGCCATGCTTGGGGTTTTTTTCTTGATCTAATAAGAAAAAATAGGTGCAACAAGTTCATGAGCTTGTTGGGTCAGTGACGAGACAGCCAGGCGCAGGGCCTGCTGCCCCGGAGCCTGCAGCGCCCAACCCAAAGTTAACCGGAGCCGGAACCACCCGGTGCCGTCCCGGGCCGCATTTCGCTCTCGGCGCAGGTGTTCCTTAAGCCACGGCGGCTCCCCTCGGCGGCCACCCCTCA